TAGGAAAGACACATCACTGTAGCAGCAGCAGCAAGTTTTACACTCTGCATTTGGGTGAGATGCAAAGAAAGTTGGGAGCATTTTGAATAATGAAAGAAGCAGGCTTTTGAAATGCAAAAATACAAATCCCTTTCAAGAAAGCAAATTATACAATGGCATATAAGAAAACAAAGGGGGAGTCAGGGGATAGTGGAGTGGTGAAAAGAGTTGTTTAATGGATAAAGATCCAGAAAAGTGAACTCTCAGATCCCTAAGAAAAAAGCTACCCATCTACTTGTCAAAAGATAAGAGGACAGGCTGGCTGGCTGGCTTTCTTCTTTTGACACAGATGTGGCAAGGTGGCAGGGAGAGGGGGTCAGAGGGGTGGGAATAGCTGATTCTCATTTACCAGGCTGCCTAAATTATTGCATCACTCACTTGATAAAAGTCTTGCAGGAAACCTGGGACACGGGGCTTTGACAGGATCTACAATGGCAAGAAAAAAGGAAAGCCATGCCGAGGAAAAGGGGGCTGATGTATTATTTACAGTCAGATAGCGAATAGTGCATTTGGAACTTGAATAGAACAGGCTGCAGGGGTCAACCCACAGACTTGTGTCTGTTCTACTGTGGAATAAAGACAGATACATCTGAATGCTCACTGCCGCTCCTTTTGCTGCCAGGGCGCCCTGCCAGAGCCGGGCCAGCATGCCTGTGCCTCATCTTATCACAGCATTGCAATCGGCCTTGGCACTGATTACCTTTCCTTACGATCCAGAAGGGTTAGAGACCTACCTGAAAATGCCCTGCCCCTGGGGATGGCATTGCATGAAGAAGGCACAGAGAACATCTTGCTGGTGGTAGCAAGTCCAGTTTGGGTATAGATGGCAAGACACACATGCACAAACAACCCACAGGCTCACACAAACATTCATACCCTCACGACTGAAGTCACGCAATGGGCAGAGGAGGGACAGGGGAATCAGATGCGAAAAGAACAAAAGGCTGCAGCCTCTGCAGTGAGCTGAGTGAGAGCGACAGGGGGACAGCAAAGGAAGCGGAAAGCAAAGTGGGAAAAACCACATCAGAAGCTGCCTCCAGAGAGCACATGCACAGGGCTTCCTCCTGTTTCCAGCTTCCATTTACTCCATATGTCGCTTTACACAGCTTTCCGGGGCCATAATGGATTTTTAGTCTATAGTTTTTTATACGAACACGAATGACTCACATCTGCTCCAACACCCAATGTTCTCGCTAATGTCCTCAGCTGAGAGGAGAAACAGTGTACACAGGATTTGCCAATGACAAGAATTACAGAAAGATTTCTCATCTGGGGGCAAAGGAGCTTAGGACCCCAGACACGCGGGGTGGAAGGGCAAGGGCCTTTGAGAGAGCACAACCTTATGGAGAGGGCAATGGACTCAGAGAACAGAGGACCCAGCTGGAGAATATTCAGATCAGGGAGTAGATTCATTTGAGGACACCAGGGCATTCCCAATTCAGAGAGTACTTACTTTCCCTGTTCTCGTCATGCTTTAAATCTTCTGCTAGGAGCTTTGCCTCCCCATCCAGGCTGTGAAGAGGTTAGGGTTGTTTTTTTTTTTTTTTTTTTAAGTCACTTGTATTAATTGCCAGTGATAGCTGATCCCCCACTGGGATTAACTGTACTCTGCCTCACTTAAGCTCGTTATTAAAGTTTTAAATATCTGTCTGAGCATGGGAGACCCCTGTTGTAGGCTAAGTCCCTAGAGAGACCTAAAGAGTTGGGTCTTGCATGGGGATGCACCTGTTTTCTAGATGTTTCAAATCCCACCGGGAATCTATTTCGATCTCAATGTTTGACAACCAGACTAATAAGCCCCTTGGCAAAATCAAGCAATGACACTTGGCAAAACAAAAGGCCCTTGAGACTTTCATAGGCCCTAGAGATCTTCCCGATGAGTGGAAGGCAAAATAATGGTTGGGAAAACAGATGCTTTGGAACAAAATCTCTGCTTCCCCATATATCTCAGGTCCAGTATGACTGCTCACACCAAAGAGCCTCAGTTTCCCCATACTCCAGTCAGAATGAAGCTCTTCAGTACCTCAAGCGGCAGGCAGCGTGGTGCTACACCATCTCAAAAGCTTGGCGTGGTGTTGTGTAACTGTCTGCCATCTGTTACCCAGAAGCAGCATCACAAAGCGCTGAGCAATGGACTACGGTGTTGCTGCGATGCAGCTCCTGCCTGGGGCTGGCAGCATCTTCAGCAGCTTGCCTGGGGGTCCCCTGCACAGCCAGTTGCAGAATCCTTCAGGCCCAAGCCTACAGATCCAGAGTTAGGATCCTGGGAAAGAATGAGCTCTCAAGCCAGGAATTCTCACACAGGCTGCAAGGATAGGTGCTCCGCTACTACCCACCCTCCACCGCCAGCCACCTGGCACCAGGCAGCCTTGTGTTATAGCGAAAGTTGTAGCCAGGAGCTTACCCTAACCTTTTAGTGCACAGAGTTCTAATAAAGGCAGATGCTGACTCTTCCCAGGTTTCTGATGGTTGTAGAGCTCAGCTGAATCTTGAGATGGGTTGGCAAGATAATATTCAGCTTTTCTGAGCTATTTGAGTTCTACTGCTGTTTCTCACCAAAAACTTCTTATCTCTAGTCTAACCAATAATGCTTTGGATCTGTGAGACAAGACAGCCCTGTGGTAGAAAGACAAGAACCTGAACAGACTTTTAAGCACACACTTCCATGTCTGATTTCACTTCTAGGGGGCTTCTCTTCACCAGAGAATGAAATCTGGAGCCCTGTTTCACACCTGCCACCCCTCCAGCTAGTACAAGAGTGGTCCACGTGCTGGTTTCTGTAAGGGAGCTGGGAGCCAGGGACCCGGAAGCTGCAGTAGTGGGCACATCATTTTCATCTCCCCAAGAAACTTGATGAGGTAAGCATCCCTTCGACTAAAGGCTGCATACATTAAAAAGTCACCATTCCTCAGCCACTGTTGCCCAGCCAGAAGGAAGGCATTTCCTTACCTTCTTTGAGCTCTCGGTCACACCAACACCTTGCATTGCACTTTCAGAACCATCTACTCGTTTTAGAGGAGGTAGGACTGTCCTCATTTTACAGTGAGAAATTTAAGACTCAGGGAGGGCAAGCGGCTCAGCCAAGTTGGACACAGCCTATGTGACAGAAACAGCCTCAGAAGTCTTTGCTATTGTTAGTTGCCATCAGGCTGATTCTGAGTGATGCTCCTCTCCTGTGTTGCAGAGTAGAACTGCTCCATAGGGTTTTGGAGGCTGTGACCTTTTGGAATCACATTTCAGAGCCTGCTTGATTTGATTCAGCTTCACTCACTTGTTGGCTAATAGTTTAGCCATTTGTGTCACCTCGGGAACTCTGGGCTCTGGTGGCTTAGTGGCAGGAAGTTGTGCTGCCAGCCCAGAGGCTCATGGTTCCAATCTATCAGCTGCTCCGCAGGAAAAAAAGATCGACAATCTTCTCCTGGACTATTTGCAGCCTCTAAAACTCCCTGGAGAGTCAGCTATGAGTCAGTTCTGACTGCATCATACATAACAACACCAGGAAACTCTAGGACTTATAGATCAGCTATTGCCTTTATTCTAGTCTTGGCGAGCCCGACATGGGGATGTGATTCTGTCCTGGTACAGAGCTAGTAGGGTTGAGCTTCAAACTGGTTGGTGGTTCAAAACTCAACAGCTGACCTGCAGGAGAAAAGTGGGATATTCTGCTCTCATATACAGTCTTGGAAACCCAATATCGCAGTTCAACTCTGTCAGATAGGATCGAATTAAGTATATATACCCCAGGGTGCTTTATATTTGGAAGTGGGAGAAGGATGCTTCCCAAAAGCATTTGGGAAGGGCTTTTGAAAGATAAGTCTCTAAAAAAAAAAAAAAAGATAAGTCTCTTTATTTCTTTATTCAGTGTACTCCTGGTCGGGATCACTTTCAAAGAACCCCTTGTGAGGCACCCATATTTGGACCTCCTCTCTTGCAAGCACACAGCCTTGATGCTTACAGGGTGAGAAAATTCCTAAGGGAGATAATTACACTTTAATTTTTAAAAAAGAATTTCTTTAAAGTTAAATTTAGAACGGCTCAGCATTCCATTAAGCAGAAAAAGTTAGGCACCTGCAGGTAGGCACAGAAACACCTTAGGGAGCTGGATGGATTCAGTCTTGACCCCGAAGAGCCTAGTGAGTGAACCCAGGTTTGGGGCAGCTGCCTGACCAGAGCCCCAATATCAACTCTTGGATAGTGGGTGCAGGGAGGGCGGGACCCAGGTGTGAGCAGTATGTGCACCCCCACTGTGAGTGGGGAAATCCTCTAAAGCACAGTTCGGCCTGGCGCGGGAGGGGCCCTTCCTAATAGCTTGCAGCTGGGGGTGAGCAGTGGATGGTGGTGGGGTACATGGTTCCCTCAGGTACCCTCTTCAAACCAGGATCGCCCGGAGCTGCGCCCCAGGCTGGGCGCGAGCGGCCCTAGAAAGGCACGGTGCGCCCTGACCGGCCTGCGGCGGCAGCGCTGCTTGTAGGAGCCCTGATGCCTCCTGCCCAGGCTCTCTTGGAGTCGGTCTGTCTGTCTCGCCCGGCCTCCCTTCTCGCCCCCCTCCCACTTTTCTCCCTCCTGTCCCGCCTTCCTCGTGCTCCTCCCGGAGTGAGTACAGCCTCACATTGCTGCCTCTCAGCAGCTCCAGTCAGTTTCCCTCACCGCCGCGGCGGCGGGCGGCAAGGCGGCGTCTGCAGCGGCGGCGCGGGGAGCATCTAGGCTGCTGCCGCGCTTCCCCGGCAAGAGAGGGTGTCTGGCTTGCCTGCTGCACCCCAGGGTGCCTCGTGCCCCACCGTCCCCCCACCCCTGTTCGCTTCTCCCCGACGCGGGCGAGGTGCCGCTCGTTCCTCCACCCGGATCCCGGACTCAAGCTCTCCAGAGAGGGGCGCTCTTTCCAGCTCCTGCCCCGCAGACCCTCACCGCCGGGGGGTGCCCCAGGGACGTAGCGTCGCGAAGAGGAGAAGGCAAATTGAACCATGCGGCGCCTGACTCGCCGCCTTGTGCTGCCGATCTTTGGGGTGCTCTGGATCACTGTGATGCTGTTCTTCTGGGTAACCAAGAGGAAGTTCGAAGTGCCGACGGGACCTGAAGCGCAGACCCCCAAGGTATGGGGCTTGGCGGTGCGCGGGGCAGTGGTTAGCCCAAGGGCGCGAAGCCCGCGCGCCCTCTTTGCAGGTTTGGGGAAGGCCAGGCGCGAGGGTCTGGGTGCTCTGAGCAGGTAACCCGTTTCCGCAATAAGGCTACCGTGTGTGATATTTCCAGATTTTAAAAAGCTCGGAGGCATCTCTGGTCCCGCGGTGTGCGAGAGGTGGGAGGTGGGCGCGCTCTCGCGGGCGGAGCGTGTCTTCCAACTTGAGCTGCGCGCCCGGGGTCCCGGGGCGGAGGGGGCGCTGCGGTCGAGCGGCCGTGGGTTTGGCGGCGAGCGGACTCGGCGACGATCTCAGGCGGTGGGGCTCCGTGCGGGCGCCGGTGAGAAGTCGAGCGGCTGCGCTGACCTCCTTCCCGCAGCTGCCAGGCCCGGCAGGGGGAGGCTGGAGGCCCGGGTGCGCCGCGCGCGCTTGTGCGTCGCGGGCGAGCGCCCTGCAGCTTCCCGTGCGGCGGTGGCTGGGACCCACCCGCCTTGTTACCGCCTCAGCCTTCTAACTGTTCCTGAGCCTCTTCGCTGCACAGGAAGTTGAAAGTGCCCTGGACGCTACTAAAGAGGCTATAAAAACAGTTATCACCATACACCCTTTGGTATTGTGAGGAGTTGGGCAGATTCGAGAATCTAAGTGGCCTTTCCAACTCTTGCCCATTTTAGTTCTTCAGAGTGGAGCCAGGGAGGCTTGTAGGTTCACGTTTACCGCTGTTCTTCAGTCTCTGGTGCCCACCACACATTTGGCCGTGGGACATGGGGGAGCCTCTGGGAAACTTCTATCCAGTCAGGAAACATTTATGAACTGGATATCGAGCAACTGGCCACAGCCGGGGACAAAACCCTAGTGGAGTTAGTGGGCCAAAGCGGGATATTAGAAAACAGTGAAGAAATGAGTAGGAGTCATGCTAGTAACCAGAGGACCTGAACAAAAGCCTCCAAACTAGAAATAAAACAACCAATCAAAACAAAACTACTACCATCAAGTCCATTTAGTTTGGAGACATAACAACCCTCTAGGAGGGATGGAACCCCCCCATAGGATGTCCATGGGTCTAAGTCTTTGTGAAAGCTGACAGCCACATAAGTTTCTCTTGCCCTGCAACAGTGGGAGTTTTCAGTCCAAGTGCTTTAACTGCTGCACCACGAAGACCTACTATATGCCAGATATGTAAGAAACCTCTCGCTTCATTGCTATCAAGTTGGAACCAACTCATAACTGACCATCTAGTTAGTTTTCAGAGGCTATAAATCCCAAGGCAGGAGATTGTTCTTCTTCCTCAGAGTCATTAGTGGATTCAAACTGCCAGAGGTGCCACCTTTCTGTTAGCAGTGCAACGTCCTACAGACAGGACACTAGAATTCAATTCGTTGTTGTTGTTGTTAGGTGCCATGGAGTGGAATAAACAACAGCTCTGAACCCTGCCCTATCCTGTGCCATCCTCACAATCTCTGACACCCTCAAGCCCACTGCTGCAATCACTGTATCAAACTACCTGGTTGAGGGTACCTGGTTGAGGGTCCTTTTCTCTTTGTCTGTCTCCACCTTCCCAAGAAAAATATCTCGGGGGAGGGAGGAAAATGTGCAGTAACGAATGAAACCCAACCTTTCTGTAAAACAAAACAAAACAAAAAACAAAAACGTCCCTCTCCATGGAATATTTGGGGGTGAGGGCTTGTACCTGAGTAAAATGGCAGACACAGAGTTCATTTTAGAGGATGCTTTTTCTGCAAGTGGTTATTTGAATTGAGTAATGTTATCCTCATTTCTTAGATTAAGAAACTGACTCAGAGACTTTACATCAAGTGCCTTGGCCTCTCTACTGGCTTGAACTCTTAATCTAAGATACTCAGGATCTTTTCACAACGCTATTTTTTACCTGTCAGATTCCGTTTTAACTAAGTTTTTAAAAGACTAGTTTTTTATTTTCAGTACATCTTGTGGCATTTGTCAATACTCAATTGAGTTCAACAAGCATTTCTTGAACACCTATTATGGACCAAATAGTGTACTAAATCTTATGGAGACAGAGATGCCAGCAGCTGGGAGATTCAGTCATAAGTGGATGGGATTGCATTCTCAGAGCCAACACTGCTGGATTTCATGGAAACCTGGAAACTCCCTGGAGGAGGAAGGACTACAACTGAGTTGAAACGAATGAACAGGTTTGCAGGTTAGTCACAGGGAGAGTATTCTGGGTAGAGATTAACTTCAGAAAACAGGCTCAGAAGCATGACACAGCACATTGCGCGAGTGTGCCATAATTTGAGCATCATGCTTGCGGAGAATTGCAGAAATGAGTCGGAGGTGGTGTGTAGGGATCATATCAGGTGGGATCTTGTGGGCATTAGAGGCTTGTGGAAGGTTGACAAGTAAGCGAAAGGTGCAGCTGACTGGTGACTTCAAATAGCCTTTGTAGAACAGGATCAATTTTCTCACTCACCTCAGGCCCTTCCTCTAGAGCTGGCGAGTTTTTCTTCTTTTCCCTGGGTGCTTCTGTTCCTTGTGATGCAGTTAATGATGCCTGCAGGGACATGAACTTTCTCTGGTTTATGTTGAACCTCATTACCTTAAGCTTGCTTATTCTAGTTTACACCAGGGATCGGACAAGGGATTTGTTTCCTTCTTTGTGTACCAGGTTTTGTGGTCTCTTTTCCTTTTCTGCCTCTTCTCATCCTGATGTGCCTTCAATACACATTTATTCAACACAGCTATATGCTAGCTCCAGTGCTAGGCTTAGGGACTGCTGTGGAAAAGTATACTGTGTCTTTCAGGGGGAGGGGGTAAGGATCTGAAGGTTTTTAGCTGAGGCCGAATTATAAATGGATGGGTACAGTAAGTGCCCCAGGCATGGTGATGTGGAATCACAAAAAGCTTTACCTTGTAGTTGGAACCAACACATAGCTGACCTTCCAGTGTGTGTCTGAGCTTGTCAAGTTTCATGGGTGAAGCTGCTGTTGGTGGATTTGAACTCCTAGTGAGGTGAGGTGTTTTGGTTACCAGCTCAGCTCTCTGTGAGCTAAGCTGTCATTGCTCCCTGAGGAATCACTGAAAGGTGCCTTTTCTTATTTGGATCACTTGATCTCTTTGTTTTAAGTAGCTGTTATTGTGCAATGCATAACCAGCTGGTCAGTGGTTCCAATTCACCAGCCACTCTGTGCAAGAAAGATGAGGGAGACAGTCTGCTTTTGTTAAGATTTATCATCCAGAAACTAAATGAAGAGTGGCCATGACTTAGAATGGACATAGGGCAGTAGATTTTGGCTTGGCCTGTCTCATTGTCTTAGTGTTTTACTTCATCTTTCCCCATTTTCAATATTCTTCTAAACCAAAATTCCTTTTTTCTTCTGTGAGTTTTATGAATTTTAAAAGTCTTGTTACTTTTTATTATAAGTTTTCTTTTTCCCCGTTTGTCTTTTACCTATCTTTTTCCTCTTTTCCATATGCATGTATGACTTTGTCCACATATATGTGTTGTGTATGTGTTGTGTGTGTTATTGTGTGCCACCCAGTTGGAACCAACCCATGGCTGACGCTTTCAGCAAGTATTTAGAAGCAATAAATTGCATGGGAGGAGATTGCCCATCTTTCTCCCACAGAGCAACTGGTGGTTTTGAACCATATGCCTTGGGTTGGCAACACAATTCCTTATCACTTTTAAATTTTATTTTTTTATTTTCCTTATCACTTTTAGTGGATGTGGGGAGCTCTGGTGGCTTAGTGCTAAGAAATAGTGCTGCCAGTTCAAAGGTATGTGATTGGAACTACCAACTGTGCCATGAGAGACAGATGGACCATGCAGTTTATCTCTGAAATTTCGCTAGAGGCCAGCAATAAATAGTTTGGTTGTGACTTGATGGTATACAACAACTTTTGTGGATGTATTTGTGTGTGTTAGATAAATGTTCCTCTGTACCTGAGTGTCTATGTATCTGAGGAGAAAAGGAGAGAAACAGACATCCCCTCGCTGATGGCATTCTCATCTATTCCACACACCATGTCTAAAGGAGTGTTGTGGTTCCCAGTCGTGTAAAGCACCTGGAGTGATCATTTAAAATGTAGGTTCTTTGACTTTTGTACAGAGATTTTGATTCTTTGGGATTGGGAGAAGTTTCTGGAACCAAAATTTTTGCAAATGCTGTATGTGATTGTGAAGCAACCTATTGATGGATGGCATTTAGGAGCAAGCCTGAGAATAATACCAAGTCTGTTCCTGTTTTACTGTTCAGATGGTGCCGTGAAAGTATAGCCAAATGGCTTCATTGTTCTTGAGTTTGCTCACGGACCTGGCTTGTGTGAGCATATGTCCTCATGCAAGTAACCACGGCTAGCATTTGTATACTGCTCTCCCAGTTTTCCATTTCTGAAATACTAGCTCATTAATTTTCTTACAAGCTTGTAAGGTACCTAATATTTCTGTGTAGTTGAGATTGAGTAAAGGGCCTAAACATTTATCCTATATTAACAAGTCTGCTAGTGGCAGAGTCAGGATGTGAACAAAATTGGAATGCTCTGAGAATTCCGTGTCACAGACTGTGTGGTACAAATAGTCAACCTGCTTGGCTGCTGATCCACAAGCTGGACTTTCTAGTTTACCCAGAGGTCCCTCAGAAGAAAGGATTGGTGATTCACGCGTGAAAAAACCCCCAGTTCTTAAAGAAAAGCATGTGGAGCACAGCTTTACTGACTCACTTGGGGTCACCACGAGGCAGAAGAGATTCTAAACTCAGTGGGTTATACATGACGACTGCCAGGTCTGCACTTGAGTCGGATATGGTGAGAATGGGAGTGCATCTCCAACCTCTTTCCAGTGCCTTAATGGTGCATCCTAAATCCTTACCTGAGGAGGGTTCTGAGGGTATTGGTGCAAACTGTGGGGTGCTAAGGCAGGAGTCACCTCAGAAGGAAATCCTGCTTTGTGCCTTGGGAGGTGACTTCTCTGGCCAACTGGAGTGCACGTGGTGAGGAGG